ACCTCCCCTGCATCGGCAGGCGCACTCCCGACCACTGCGCCACCAGGGAAGCCCCAGCACCATCTTCTTTCTCTTCTCCTTCTGGGGCTCCGGTCACATGAATGTTAGACTTTTTGTTTATGTCCCCCAGGTATCTGAGGATCTGTTCATTTTTAACATTTAATTTTTCTCTTTGTAGTTCAAATTGAATAATGTCTATTGATCTCTCTTCAAGTTCACTGAATCTTTCCATCCTGCTGTTAAGTCTATACAATGAGTTTATTGTGCTTACTTTATTTTTCAGTTCTGAAATTTCAACTTGGGTGTTCTTGATATCTTTTATTTCTTTTATGAGATGTTCTATTTTTAGCATTTGTTTGAAGAACGTTTGTGATTGCTTCTTGAGAGTATTTGCATAATAAACATCATATTTGTCAGATAATTCCAACATCTTTGCCATTTTGGCACTGGAATCTGTTGATTGTCTTTTCCTATGTGAATTTAATTTTTGTGGTTTTCATATGCTGAAGAATTTTTTAACTGTATCCCAGATGTGTGAGACCCTGGGTCTTATTTTAAAACTATGGAGACAGGTACTTAAATTTATCAGGCAGCCCACCTGGATAGATTCAAGTAGTAAGTTTCAACCTGCTTCTGTGAGCGGTAGTTCACTGTCAACTCAGTTCAGAGCCTTTGTGGTTTTATTCTGAACTGTCCCAGGTGTGCATCGCGTATTGGCAGTTTGTGATCTGGGTGTGCGTGGACTCTGTGTTCCCAGAGTTTGTAGTGTGCTAATTAGAAACAAATCCATGCATGTATGAGTGGGGCTGAGCCCTGGAGTAAAAGAAGACGTTTTATGGAATCACTTTCCTGAGCTGCTTTCTATCCACGATCTCCTGGTGCTTTCTGCGCCAGCCCTTTTTGTTCCTCTGGGCAGAAACTTGGGCCTCTAGTTACCCTGCTCTGCCTGAACTATGTTTGGGTCCACATCCAGGCCCACGTAGTGGGGGGAGAGAGAGGGAAAAACGCAGTGGGAGTTGACCCCACCCTCTTGGTCTCAGAGCTACTTTGAGCGGGAGTTTTCCTTCCTCAGAATACTGACCCTCCCCCCGCCCCCGCCCCCGCCCCCGGAAAATAAAAAAAAGCAAAGCAACAAGACCGATGGAAAAGAAAAGAGAAAATGAGAATTAGAGGCTTGAGTGTGTGAACAGGAAGCTTTGATACAGACTCACTGAGGGACGCTGGCATTCCTTCCTAGAAGGGGCTAAAACTGATCACTTTGGGCAGGAAACAACCCCCATTACTGACTCAGTGCCCCACATGTGGAATGGGAAGGTGGGGCTCTGTGGCCTTTCGGCAATCCGGAATCATCTTCTCCCGAACACCCGCACCACTCCTCAGCCCCTACTCCGCGCCCCGTCCCCAGCGCAGCCTTCGCTTTCGTGGAGGAGAAAACCAGGGCCTGGTGTGCTAAACGAGCTGCCCAAGGTCTGACAAACCAGATCCTTGAACTTCTTGAGAGTCCAGGAGATGCCCAGGCTCCCACCCAAAACCCAGCTCCCATGACCCCTCTCTTCTGGAGACCCTTCCTCAAGCTCCCCGGTGGGCAGCGTGCCCACAGAAGCTGAGTTTCTGCCCGGCACTCAGCACATTGTCATCATCCCCATCACCCATCAGATATTCATTGAGCAATTACTACATCCTGGGAGTGTGCTTAGAGCTGAGAATACAGAGGCGATAAGGCAGCGTCCTGCTCCGAGGGCTTACAGTGTACGTCTGCTTGTCTTTATCCTAATTAAACTATCAACTCCGTGCGGGTGGAGGCCCGGCCCTGGCCTGTCGCCTCAGGTGTGGCACAGCTGTCAGCAACGGTTGGGTAAAACCCACACCTCTGATGGCAACACCTGTTACCCCCTATTTTTATTAGACTCTGACCCATCTTAAGTGCAAAATACTGAATCTAATCTCACAGACAGAGAAAGGGACATCCCCACTCCATTCCAGGCTTTGGCAGCAGAGCAAGCTTGGAAGGGAGCCTGGCACAAAGAGCCTCCCCCAAGAGGGTACAGCATTCCCTCACCCCAAATCGTCATTCCTCACCCTCCGCTGGGCTGGCCCAGCCTGGGCCTCTTCTCACCTGCAGCTCGAAGCCTGGTTTGGTTTACTTTCAAAACGAGCTGGCAAACTAGGTGTAAGTCAAATCTGGCTACAAAAAAGTTGTGACCATTTTAGAGCTGTCAAAAAAAATAAAAAACCAAAACAAAGAACGTGTGACAGAGACCATATGACCTGCAAGCCTAAAATACTTACTACCTGGTTCTTTCTAGAACAAGAGGAGCGCCACTGCCACCACACACTTGGGCAGGTGTGAGATCCGGGTGTAGCTTCTCCGGGGCTACGCTGGGTGTAGGGGTTAGACAGGCTCTCGCCCCCTGCCACTGCCCGACTCCCACCAAGAGAAGCCCCACTTTATCTGTTCTATGTCCTGGGCCTGTGGGAGATGACACTTCTAGAAAGTGCCTTTTACCCCTTAAAGTTCAAAGCCATGCATCGCGTCCAGGACGCCAGCCACGTGTGACCTGCCTCTTGTTTCTGTACAATCCACAAACTAAGAATGTTTTTGACCTTTCTAAATGATCGCGGGGTGGGGGGTGGGAATCAAAAGAAGACTATTTCATGACCTGTGAAAATTACATGAAATTCAAGTTTCAGCATCCGTAAGTAATGTTTTACTAGAACCAGCCAGCCCGCAAGTTTGTGGGTCTGTGGCTGCTCCTGAACCAAATAGCAGAGCTGGGTCATTGTGACAGAGACTGTACGTGGTGGTGTGGTCGCTTTGCACGCCGCTGGGCACCCTGCAAATCCCAGTGACAAGGAGCCGTCACTCGAGGTTCCCTCTTGGCCTGCCAAGCTAAACTATTTCCCACGTGGCCCTTGACAATTTTGCCTACGCTCCCGCTCTTATAAAGCTGTGGAAGCTGGGGCTGGGAACAAGGAAGGACGTGCCCAGATTCCCGCAGAGGCAGGGCAGAGGTCTGTTTTTGAATGTTCTGGAAGACAGAGCCAGAGGGACAAAGAAAAAAAAGGAATGAGGCAGAAGACAGGAGTGGAGACCACCCCAGCACGGAGGGCTGCAAAGGATTATGTGATTACACAGAAAGGAGATGGGCTACCAGTGTCAAAGCAGCACCTAAACCCGGGTGGTGCGGTCCCTGTGACAGGTGGCTAATCTGGGGGTTAGAAAGCTCTGTGCCATTTTAAGCAACAGCTGCTCGGCTGGTTTCGGTAAAGCTCTGTCTGGCACCCTCCCAGGCAGAACCTTCTCTTTTTTTAACCTTTTAACCCAGAAATTTTATTTCTTTTTCTTTTTTTTTTCTTTTTTTTTTTTTTTCCTTGCGTTATGCGGGCCTCTCACTGTTGTGGCCTCTCCCATTTGCGGAGCACAGGCTCCGGACGCGCAGGCTCAGCGGCCATGGCTCACGGGCCCAGCCGCTCCGCGGCATGTGGGATCTTCCCGAAACGGGGCACGAACCCGCGTCTCCTGCATCGGCAGGCGGACTCTCAAGCACTGCGCCACCAGGGAAGCCCTCTTTTTCTTTTTTTTAATTAATTTTTATTGGCGTATAGTTGCTTTACAATGTTGTGTTAGTTTCTACTGTACAGCAAAATGAATCAGCTGTTATGAACCCAGGCTAACGCTGGGCTGTATAGCAGGCAGAACCTTCTTGTCAGGGCCCAGCGTGGGCCCAGCGTCAGCAATGGGCTGATAACAGTGATGTGGAGGTTTCCAGAGAGGAGAACGGGAGACACTGGCCTATGAAAGAGTCTCCTAAATAAATGTGATGAGCGGAATCCCGACATCCCTTGGGCGAGGGGACTAGTCACCTCCGGCTAACCAGCTCTGGGGGTTCCCTAGATCAAAGTCTCGGGCAGACAGAGCAGACAGCGCCCTCCAAGACGCCTGGCTGCAGGTTTGGCTCCGAGGGGTACTTACTCGGCAGACTTCCAGAAGTGCCCAGGGTGCGAGAGCCTCCGGTTCAGCTTGGGCAGCTTCTCCAGCATGTCCATCAGCAGCGGGAAGCTGGGCCTCTCCTGCAGGTCGAAGGCCCAGCAGGCGGACAGGATCTCCTGCAAAGCGAGCCGGCATTGGAGGACGTGAGAGCTGGCCGGGAGCGAGGGGGGCGCGGCCGGGGCACTCTGCCCAGGGTCCCTTCCGTGTTTCCGAGCGCCCCCCGGCTGGTGGTCGCCTCACTCTCCTGCCGACACTGAGGTGACTGGCCATGGCTGGAGTAGGGCCGTGAAATAACTGAATTTGAGAAGAGCTCTCACACTTCCAGTGAAAATGAAGGGCATGGGCCTCCCTCCCCTCCTTCCTTCCTCGACCTCCCTGGAATAATAGTTACAGAGACGAACGAAAGGTCATAGGAAAGAGATCAGAAATGGGGTCACGGATGTTCCAATGGAAAATGGAAGGCAGTGTGTTGACAGGTGAAACGCAAGATGCTCGGAAGGCGTGCAGGGCTGGCCAGGCTGCGATGGCGGAGGAGCCTGGGGGCGTTACAGGAATGGAGGCTGGCGGGGACAAGAAGGACTGAGCACAGGGCAGCCGTGAGAGTCGACAGAACAGCTGCCCTGACAGTCCCGAGTCGGGGCAAAGCCCTCCTCGCTTTGGCCTTCTGCTGCCCACTCTCCGGATCCACGTGTGCACACAGCACACCCCTCGGCCTTTCGATTCAGAAGAAGTCCCTGGGAGAAGACAGGCCTGTGCGCACGACCAGGCAGAAGGTGCTCATGCGATAGGGCAGTTGGCGACCCTGCCGGGAAACTCACAGCCCACTTAGCGCTTCACCTGGATGACTGCCGGGTGGTCCCCCCAGACGTTTCCAATGCTATGCTGCCCTGGTACCTACTGGGTCTACTTATCAACATCCTGGCTGGCATCTGTCTGCTCCGGGCCTATCTGACTCATGAGCGCGTGGTAAACACTGACGGCGCTGAGAACACCGCCCCCCCGGGCTCGATCATGTATCACTGTGCCAGGCGGGGGAACTTACAAACTGCAATGCAGAGACACCATCAATGATATTCAGTCATGTGAGGGCCAGCGACCGTATTATGATTTGGCATCTTGAAAACAGATCTGCTGTGGAAACCTTGATTTGTTACTCGAACGGTCGGGAACAACATTGAGAAAAGATCTGACATGACAACAACCCCTGTTGTTGTCTTTCACTGTTTGTACTTTATGCAGTGAAATTTGTTATTATCTTCTTTCTAGCAAGTAACATACAGGCTTTATTATCTTATCTCATAGTTCAGTCAAAACCATTATCTTTATTTCCTTCCTGTCCTTTTTTTTTTTAAAGATAATTTTTCTTTCCAAAGGTTAGCAGTGGGGTGGTGAAGGACACAGACCTCCTAGCCGGCAGCAAAGAGGCCTGCCTGCCCCCCATCCGCCTCTGGGTGCCACGTCTCAGGCAGCCAGCCGCCTGCCCTCTACCCCGCCTTCCTCTCCCAGTGCAGGGGCTTGGGGGGCTACTTACGGTGACTTCCTTCCCCAGGCTGACGGAGGCCAGGACTCGCTTCATTCCCTCTCCGCTTCCAATCTGCCAGATCAGGGCCTCCGCAGCTTGGTTCTTCAAGGGCCAGTCTCTGGCTTGCAGCTCATACCAAACGGTCCTGTGGAGACCAGCCACCCATGTGGCCTGAGCTCCCTGGCGGCAGGGCTCGGCTCAGCTCAGCTCACACCCCGGAGGTGCCTGCTGCCCTGATGCCAGGAGCCCGGCTGGAGGACCCAGCATCCCCCTCCTACCTTCCTCACCCGCCAGGCTTCCAGGAACGCCTTGATTCCCTCCCGGGGCCCTGCGCTCCCATTGTGGCAGGAAGTCTCAGACAGCACGGGCTCTGGACAGAGATCCCGGTACAACCGTTCAACCTCCGTGGGGTGGCTGCCCATGGCCAAGGTTGTCTGAGGAGTGACAAGAATGCCCGGCCCTGGGCCTGGCACAGGCAGGTGCTCAGGAAATGATAGTTAAAGGTCAGGCCAGGAAGAGAGCACCCGCGAGGGAAGGATCCCCCGAGAGATTACGGGATGAGGCCGTCACTCAGACCCTCCAAGTCCCCTTGCCCTTCTCGACTTATCTGGATGGGACCTTCTCCGTTAGACCCACCCTGTCCAACCTGGGGGCCACGTGGGGCTACTGAGTAACTGAATTGTGGGGAGGGGAACTGAGGTGTAAAACACACACCAGCTTTTGAAAGCTTTGTGGGGTAGAATTTTAATTTCTTATTTTGATTACACGTTGAAATGATAATATTTTGGCTATATTTGAGTTAAATATCTATTGAAACTGATTTCACCGGTTTCTTTTTTTTTTTTTGGCCGTGCCACACTGCAGGCAGGATCTTAGTTCCCCGACCAGGGATCTCACCATGCCCCCTGCAGTGGAAGCGCGGAGTCCTAACCACTGGACTGCCAGGGAATTCCCTCTTTTTCTTTTTTAATGTGGCTAAGAGACACATCTGGCTCATATTATGTTTCTATATTTCTATCGGTCAGCACCCCAGCTCTCTGTGGGGCACAGCTGGCAGGACTCCCTGTTGTCCCAGAGGGACAGTCCTTGATTAGCTCTGGTGAGCGTCTTCATGGGGCAACAGGTGGGAATGACACCCAGAGTTAAGCATTCTATACAATCAGCTAATTTAGTCCTCATTTAACAGCTCTACCAGGGAGGTACTTTACTCTTCCCATTTTACAGGTGGGGAAACAGAAGGTCAAGGATGTGATCACTGGCCCAAACAAGTGGCTGATCCAGACTCAAAGCACACCTCCCCCTGCCCCCCACCCCCGTGGCCAGTAGGACCCTCTCTTTGAGCCACACTTGGCCTCAGAGCCCCAGGCGGAGGGGTGCCAGGGGCCTCCTCACCCAAATGCATAGACGTCAGCCGCTTTGGAGAAGGGCAGCTGGTCCTCGTCCTTCCCGGGGGTCATCTCCCTCACAATCTCGGGGGCCAGGTAGCACAGCCAGTCATGTGACAGCTTCAGCTGGTTCTCACGCCTGGAGGCCAAGAAGCCAGGGCAAGGACATGGCCTTCAGTCAGCAGCAAAGAGGCCCGCAGGGCAAGCACCTGCCCCAGGGCTGGCACACCACCCACCATGGCCCAGAAAAGCAGCACACCCATCATGCACTTGCCAAGGCACCTGTGCTTTGGGGGAATGTTACCGAGGAGTGATAACCAGGCTTTTCTAGGAAGCAGGCCAAGAAGAGGCATCGGCAGGGAGTTGCACTTGAGGGTGCTGATTCTCTACCCTGGGAGTGTGAAGGGCATCTCCAAGCAGGAGATCAGATCTGCCCGTGGGCCTTACAACCCGGCCTGGGGCTGGCTCTCCAGGCCGGCTGCCGCTCTCCCTCCTGGGGTCCAGATGCTTTGGGAAGGAGCCTTTCTCCCCATTCCCACGCCCCCTTCAAGATTTGCGGAACTGGAACCTGACGTTCTTCCTCATAACGGGGACGTGAACCCTGGTCCCCCGCCCAAGTCGGTGAGCATACAGGGAAAATGTGAGTGAGGGGACCCAACCACCTCGGGGGCCAGCCTGAGAATGAAGCACTCACTACGAGTGACCTAAGTGTCACCCAAACCTGATTCTGGACCAGAAACACAAGAGCAGGACCAGAGCAGACCTGGCCTTTCCTAAAGGGAGGGCTGCCCCTCAGTAACAGACGGCGAGTGCCCAGACCTCGGCTGGACCTCAGGCCCACCAGCACCGCCCAGTCCCTCCCTAGTCTGTCCAGATGCCCAAGGCCAACTGACCGTCCCTCTCGGACCACGCCTGAGATCCCGAACAGCCCGAAGTCTGTGATGACCACTTTGCCATTGTCATAGAAGACATTCTTAGATTTGAGATCTTTGTGCACGATGCCCTTGGCATGGAGATATCCCATTCCCTGGAAGACAGCGAGCCTCACGTCAGGAGTGGAGGGAAGGTGAATGACGAATGACTTAGCTCCTACTCTGGGCCGGGCCCTGAGCGGGACGGGACGCCCTACCCCACCCCCTCATTTAATCTTCACCACCCTGTGCAGTGTAACTGTCTCCTTTTTACAGAGGAGGAAAGCCGGCCTCAGAGATGGGAAGTCACCTGCCCCAGGCCACACTGCAGTTAAGCGGCATTGCTGAGATCTGGTGCCAGGCCAGTCTGCGTTCCTGCTGTGTCAGCGCACTGCCCAACATCCACCTTATACTCAGATGAGGCGTGGAAAGGGTGAGGGGTGAGGGGCTGGGGGTCAGGAAGTATATAAAGGTTCACTGTGATGCTACTCTCTGTGTCAAGTTATAAAAGACCCGAGTGATCTGGGGTCTCTCTCAGGCTTTGCTGGCCTCTCCCCTCAGGCTGGGCAAGGGCTAGGGTTGGGGAACAGAGAGCAATTCCCATAGAGGGAGCCCCTGAGCTCAGGTGGTCCCACTGCCTGTGCTGTGGTAGAAGTCCTGGACTAAAGCTGAAATCCAGCCCAGATTCTAACTCACTGTGGGGCCTTGCACTTGACTTCTAAGCCCTCAGTTTCCTCAGCCTGCCAAGTGACAGGTCAGGGCTGGGTGATTTCTAACCAACGCTCTATTTGGACTGAACACTGCCAGGTGCATGGGATGTGGGAGACCTGACGCAGGCATGATCTCATCCAAGGCCAAACCCAGGATTCCCAGGTCCCCTGCTGCTCTGATGCTCTTGGGAACGGGGAGCAGGGAGGGAGAAGGGGGGTACTGTACGAGATGCATGACTGAAATGGGCATCCCTGCCGGGTCAGAAAGAGCCACGTGTAGGCCCATCTCCCAATCGCCCACATCAAGGGTGCTTCATGTGTGAGAACTCCGCCTGACTTTAAAGGTATCTTGGGGTGAGACGGGGAGAGGTAAAAACAGCAAAAGCCACATTTAGGAAATAGAAGAATGAGCTGTGAGGCGGAAGCAGACAGAACTCAGCCGAGCCCAGAGCTCAGACCGAGTGGGGCTGGAGCGCATCAGAGAAGAATGTACACGAGGCAGATGCCCTTCTGCAAGAGACGGGAGGGCTCGGGGTCCACCGTGGCCACTTCCCTCAGGCCTGCTGAGAGCTGTCATCCTGCAATGGAAGCCGGGAGTTCCAGGGAAGAGTAACTTGCTCTTCCCGAAACGCCATCCTGAATGTAAAAGGATCCTTCTTAAAATATCTGCCCATTTCCCAAGCCAAACCAAGGCACAAGCCTTCCCCAGCGACCAAAGAGAGCCAAGACCCCCATCTTGGGTTGAACAGGGGCCAGCTGTGTGACTGAGGATAAGTGCCTGTACCTCTCTGAGCCTTGTTTATAAAATAGGTGTCACAGCCTCAAATGGCCAGAGACAAGACAGAAAGTGCCCAGGTCTGGAACACAAACCCTCCTTCCTTCCCATAATTTCACAATGCCTCCAGAGTGGCCGCCAAGCCCTCTAACCAAAGGTCAAGCCCTCGTTATTATATTTGGAGCCTCAAAATATCAGAGATGAGTACAAGAGGAAGTGGCTTAGAAGTTCTCAGAAGAAGGGGGATGGGGAAAATAAATAAGCCAGCAGAGAGGAAGCTGCTGGCTCTGCAGCTCTAAAACCTTTGCACAACTTTTCTCTTCTGCCCTGGAATCTTCCAGATGGCTCACTGAACCTAACTCAGCAACCAGACTCCCAGAGTGTCCTGACGATAAGGAGAGAGAACAGTTTGGGGGAGGAGGGCTGAGTCGGGCAGAGTGTGGAGCAGGGCCCAGCAGGTTTGGGGCCATCACAGAGTAGGTGTGACGCTCTGCAGCTCCCTCCAACTTCTCTGCAATGAGACAGACTACAAAGGAAGGCGTAAGTGTGATATTTGGGTTTGGGGGGCTGCAAAAGTTTAATGCATTAGTGTAGCCACATGGAAATGTCACGTGGAAATCTTGGTGTTCATAAACGTCACTGAGATTTTTATCTTTTCCTTTCCAACGACACACACACACACACACACACACACACACACACACACAATGGATGCAAGGAGGGAGGGAGAAAAAAAGAAAAGAAGGCAAGACTAACAACAGGAAAGGGACAAAAACTTGGTGGGAGCTGGTGAGAGAAAGCTTTTCCGCAAAAACAAGAACCAGGAAAGAGGAAGCCCTATCCAGCACTAATCTAGTTTTTCTCTGGGCCTGTCTGTTGCTAAATAAAGCAACAAATAAGCTTTCCTTTCATTTTTGTTTAATTACTTTAAAAAGATGAAAGGAGGGGCTTCCCTGGTGGCACAGTGGTTGAGAGTCCACCTGCTAGTGCAGGGGACACAGGTTCGAGCCCTGGTCTGGGAAGATCTCACATGCCGCGGAGCAACTAAGCCTGTGCGCCACAACTACTGAGCCTGCACTCTAGAGCCCGTGAGCCACAACTACTGAGCCTGTGTGCCACAACTACTGAAGCCCGCACTCCTAGAGCCCATGCTCTGCAACTAGAGAAGCCACCGCAATGAGAAGCCCGTGCACTGCAACAAAGAGTAGCCCCCGCTCGCTGCAACTAGAGAAAGGCCGTGCACAGCAATGAAGCCCCAACGTAGCCCAAAATTAATTAATTAATTATTTTTTAAAAAAGGCTGCCTGAGTTGAGCCTGAAGCCCTGTCCTCATGAAACTTGGATTTGGAAACTTTAAGGCAGAACCCCTGTCCCAAACCTTAATCAATTCTAACAGACTCTCACCAAGTGCTGGCCCTGGACCCAGTGCTCTCTCCATGGATTATCCCAGTTTACCTTTGCACCAATCCAATGAGGGAGGCGACACTGGCATCTCCATTTCACAGGGGAGGAAGCCAAGGCTCAGAGAGGCTAATCGACCTGCCCGAAGTCACACAGCTGGTGTGACCAAGGTTCAAACTCAAGCCATCTGTCTTTAAAACCCACTGAGTTCCTCCAGGGTGTCCAGCTCCCAGCAGACAAGACAGGGACAGAGGGAAGGAGATGGGGGTCCCACCCCTGAGGTGCCCCACCTAAAGGGAAAAAACAGAGCAGCCACCACCACTACCCTGACATGGTCAGACAGACTGGGGCACAGCCAGGAAACCAGCTGGATGCCCCTTCACCTTAATGATCTCCTGGGCGATCTGCCTGGTCTTGTTGATGTCCACAGATGTCTTGGGGTCCCTCACAAACGAGTGCAACGTCCGTCCCTTGCAGAAGCTGTGAGGAGTGGTGGGTCAGGCAGAGATCTGGGGCCTGTGCAGCCCAACCCAAGCCCCTCTGGAGCCGGGGAGAAGCAGGGGCAGAGCTGTGCCCGCCGGCCTCGGGAGGGCTCTCTCTGTCCCCTAGACCCTGGGTGCCTGAATCCTCGTTCTTGAGCAGCCTGATGC